GTCTCTCTCTCTACCCGTCTCTCTCTCTCTACCCGTCTCTCTCTCTCTACCCGTCTCTCTCTCTACCCGTCTCTCAGCCCTCCTTTGAGCGTCTGGTAAAGAGGAAGTGGTTGAGTAACACGGAGCCGTTTGATCAGATTGAATCTCTCATCAAAGAATATTTCAAGAAGTATCACAGGATGGACAGTCCTCCGTACCAGGTACTGATTCTGTGTACTTATATGCTGTGTACTCATGTACTGTGTACTCATATACTGTGTACTTATGTACTGTGAACTTATATACTTTGTACAGTATGTATTTATGTACAGTAAATAATCAAAAGTCTGCTGAACTCTGTGGTGAGTTTAAAAACGGTTACATGTTTTAAGAACACAATGTGATCGAGATTGTCAGTTTTATTTAAAAAAATCCAGGTTTATGTTGCAATATGAAGATTAAACAGGAGCTGAATTTAACTTTTAAACATTTTATTTTGGTGTTTAGCAACAAACATTCAATAATAAAAGAATTTTATGATGAAAATCAAGTCCTGCAAATCAAAAAGCACAAACAGAAAGTAAATATTAAAATATGTGATATATTGTCTTATATAATATAATATATTACATATATTATATCGTATATAAATTAATTTAAAAAATAAAAATTTTAAAGTTATATTGTATTGTAGTTATGGCAGGACGGTGGTATTTAAGAGCAGTGTGGATCAAACACTTTGACACATTTTGAAGAGTCAGCTGCTTTCTATTCATATATATTCATGATAATACCAATAATAATTATAATGATAGTAATAGTAATAATAATATAATAATAATAAGGACCACAAAGCTATGAATAATTGTATATATTTCTAATTCTGAACTAATAGATATATCTCACCGTCTGTCTCTCAGCTGCTTTATATTCATATGTTAAAATAATAATAATAACCGTCTGTCTCTCAGCTGCTGGTGGCCGAGGTCCACCGTCGGGTGGTGATGGAGTACCTCCGCTCCGTCATGAGAGGAAGAATCATCTGCACCTCCATGAAGATGAGGAAGAGGATGGCCGGGCGGCTCAGAGACGAAGGCAAACAGATCAAAGTCCTCTTCAAAGACCTGGTCAGTTCTGAAATGTAGCGGCTCTCTGTCGCCTCCCAGAGGACACTTTTGTCTTTCTGTCTTTTTTAAATTGTTTTTGTTTAACCAGGAAGTCTTTTTGGGGAGAGACCTGGTTTAAGTAACACACCGTTACAAGGAAGCGTGTTTAAAACCGGATAGCAACAACAAATACAAAATACACTTTAGGGAACGCAATTGCACTCTAAATCATGACTAAATCATGATGCTGTAGTTTGTTCTGAAGGTTATAAAATAGGAGAAAGCGGATCCTGGCTACCTGGTAGAGCCTCATTTACTGAAGCAAATATCATAAAAAGTTGTTGGTGAGTGATCGGAGATTACACCGATATGAAGGGAGTTCACCCAGCGTGGCTTTTTAAAGGGAAACTTACCAACATCTCCTTAATGGAGGACAAGAAACTAGCTGTTAAAGTACACAGGGATGTGTTCGGGACTATGAGGAGTTCCCTATTGTGATAATAAAAACCAAAACCTAACCTTCAGTTTCTTCACTAGCTTCTCAAAATACAGCCTCTCATCCAGATACCAGATATCCAGGTATTCTTTCATTTGGGTCCCTCCTACAGTGTGATATACATGATCTGAGATCTGGTAGTGAACTCTGCAGAGGATCATGGTTCTCTTAGGAACCAGGTTAGACCATAATCATGAGGTCTATAGCTGTCTGGACCTCATCAACAGCTTGATGAAGAGAAGAGGCAGCTGAGTAGAATGTTGTATCATCTGCATACAGGTTTACTTTAGCTGTAAGAACGTCCTTCTCAATGGTATTTATGAGAATGTAAAATAAGACTAATGTTACCTAAATCAAATGAGTTGGACAGATGAACAAACAGAGCTGCTTTGTGTCTGAGGCCTCATATGTTTTCAGACCAAACTGATCCTGGGACCCTCTGAGAGGAACTGTCCACCTCAACATTGAAGTGTCCGTGTTTTTTTCCATTGTTTTTGTATTTTGTTGCCTGTTGGTAACTCGGCTAACAGGTTTTTAAAAATGGTGGTTCCTGGTCTGCTTTGGCTCATGTGTTTGACCAATCATAGCACACCTCCGTCACTCATGGTTTCTCTTATAGTTCCTCTGAAATAGGTGATAAAAAAGTCACGAGAAACCTTTAGAACTACAATCATTCCTTGTTCTTGTACACGGTGAAAATTAGAGTTCTTAGAACTATGAAACAGTTCCTCCGGTCCTTTAACAGCTAATGATGATAGCATTTGTTACCAACATAGCTGCTGTTGTGGTTTTTGTTGTAGTTTTTGTTGTGGTTGTGGTTTTGGCCGTGGTTTTGGTTTTGGTTGTGTCTCTTTTATATGTTCTATATATTTGTGTCTTTCTGTCTCTCAGGAGTCTCCATCCAGCTGGTTGGACGGCGCTCTATCTCACATCTCAGAGATCATCCAGCTGGAGGACGTCCCCTCAATCCAGATGGAGGTCGGAGTTCTGGTCCGAGAGTTTCCTGACATCAGGTACAAACTTCTTGTTCTTTTCTTTCTTGTTCTTGTTCTTGTTCTTGTT